TAGGACTAGGGTCTGTATTTATACCTTGTATCTCTCTCTCTCCCCCCTTATGTTTGTATATCTTGGGAGACAAATAGAGGCCGGTCCACGCTGTACCTATACATGTGCACCATGCACACGATCAATGATTATCGATTCGTGCAATCTCATTCTTCCTAACTAACATGGTTGATCGATGTAATACTGGTTAACTCAAGGCTTTGTTAAATCAAAGTCGGGCTAGGTTCGAGTCTCTTCTTGGGTCAGCTGATGTCTTTTCTCTAAAAGGTGTTAAATCAAGGAATTCAATAACTCCCGAACGTTCGGATTTTGAGCATTTCGTTCCGAATGTGTTTACATGGCAACTTTAGTTCATATGGGATGGCAACTTTATTTCATAGGGGATGGCAACTTTGTCCTTTTTCATTTTTTTTGTTAGAAAATTGCCATGTTTCCCTAATCTCACGCAAACTAAACTTGCCATCCAAATCGTTCGGGTTGCCATGCTTAACCCCCGAACGTTCCGGAGTTATCATTACCGTAAATCAAAGTCGGGCTAGGTTCGAGTCTCTTCTTGGGGTCAGCCGATGTCTTTTCTCTAAAAGGAAAACCGAAGCAAACAATGAACCAGCGAAGTATGAATATGGGCTGGTCGAGCCCCGCAGCGCGTAGGAAATCCTTCAGTCGAGACGTACGTGCTTTCCATCTCGTGTTGAGCGAGATATATTTCTCGCAGCTCCCACTTCCCCCGCGGCCTCTTCGGTTGAGTTGGGGTCGTTCGTTCCCACGTCCGATTTATAGAGGACAAACTAACCGCCACCTCTCCCGATCCAGACGGCTGGTGGTTACCTCCACGCCGTGGTACGTGGCTGGCGACGCCATTGATTGTCCCGGCGTCGCCGCTCCCCATTTGCTTTTCCCGGGCCATAGCAGCCCGTCCGGCAGGCCGGCCGGCCGATAGAGCTCCAAAAAGTTGCGGTTGTTCAACCCACCAGCCATAGATCGGTCGCTGGAAAAGTTCTCCAATTTATTTTGGAGGCACGTACACGCGGCACGCGTCGCGTCTCGGTTGGTTTCGTTCCTCTATTAAGCGCGCGCGGCGTTTTAATTTCTTGGCCATCTCCACCGGGCAGAGCAATGGCGTGCTGCGCTGCGGTGGTGGCGGTGGTGCTGGCGGCCGCGGTGGCGGGGGCGCCGGTGGAGGGGCTCGGCGTGAACTGGGGCACCTTGGCCACGCGCCGGCTGCCGCCCAAGGTGATGGCCCGGCTGCTCAAGGACAACGGGTTCAAAAAGGTGAAGATCTTCGACGCCGACGAGGCCACCATGATGGGGCTCGCCGGGACCGGCATCGAGACCATGATCGCCGTGCCCAACGACATGCTCGCCGCCGTGGCCGCCGACTACCGGCGCGCCAAGGAATGGGTCAAGATGAACGTCACTAAGTACGACTACCATGGCGGAGTCAACATCAAGTACGTGCGAGGCTTGCAGTTACTTACTTCGTCGTTTTCATCCGTCTTTCTCGCAACTGATCTGTTCTTGATCCATCAGATTCGTGGCGATCGGGAACGAGCCGTTCCTGACGGCGTACAACGGCACCTACGACAACGTCACCGTGCCGGCGCTCAAGAACATCCAGCGCGCGCTCGACGAGGCCGGCCATGGGTCGGCCATCAAGGCGACTGTCCCCGTGAACGCCGACGTCTACGACTCTCCGGCCAGCAACCCCGTCCCGTCGGCGGGGAAGTTCCGCGACGACGTCGCCGCCATCATCACCGACATGGTCAAATTCCTCAACCACAGCGGCGCGCCCTTCAGCGTCAACATCTACCCGTTCCTCAGCCTCTACGGCAACGACAACTTCCCCATCGACTACGCCTTCTTCGACGGCGCGCCTCCCACGCCCGTGATCGACAACGGCGTCAACTACACCAACGTGTTCGACGCCAACTTCGACACCCTCGTCTCCGCGCTCGACAAGATCGGGTTCGGGAGCATGCCGGTGGTGATCGGCGAGGTCGGCTGGCCCACGGACGGCGACAAGCACGCCACGGTGCCCTACGCCGAGAGGTTCTACAACGGGCTGCTCAAGCGGCTCGCGGCGCGGCAGGGCACGCCCCTGCGGCCGCGCGCCAGCATCGATGTCTACCTCTTCGGGCTCATGGACGAGGACGCCAAGAGCGTGGCCCCCGGCAACTTCGAGCGCCACTGGGGCATCTTCACCTTCGACGGCCGCCCAAAGTTCCCGCTGGACCTCCGCGGCAACGGGCGGCCGGCCATGCCGGCGGGGGCCAGGGGCGTGCAGTACCTGCCGCGGCGGTGGTGCGTGCTCAACCCCAACGCTTCCACCAACGCGACCGCCGTCGCGGAGAACGTGGCCTACGCGTGCTCGCGCGCCGACTGCACGCCCCTCGGCTACGCCTGCAGCTGCGGCGCGCTGGACGCCGCCGGGAACGCCTCCTACGCGTTCAACGCCTACTACCAGGCGCAGGGGCAGGTGCCATTGGCGTGCGACTTCCAGGGCCTCGCCGTCGTCACCGACAAGGACGTGTCACGGCCACCCTGCAACTTCACCGTGCAAGTAGTCGCCGAGTCGCGCGCCACGGCGGTCACCACCAACACCACCGCCGCCGAGTCTATGGCCCCCGACGCGGCCGCGGCGCGGCTGACCGCCGCCGTGATGGCTTTCTTGCTTGTGCTCGTCTCCGCATAAGGGCAAGGAATAAGTGTTTTGTAGATACTGGGTGGCAGTGAAAATGATGTACGTTACCTTAATCAATTGGTTGATGCTCGTGCTAAATTAATTATTACCATAGTACGGTCTCTTCCCTTCACTAGTAAATGTGCACGTGCAACGCACGTCTCAACTAATATTACAATCATATGTGAAAAAGGATATTGTTTGTTATAATTAGTACCCTCAACCCGAACATATGCTACTACCGTACATCCATTTTAAATTATGTATATAATTAAGATCCATTTATACAAATCTGTTAATAGAAACAATATTGATTTATACACCTAAATGAAGCAAGCATTCAGATATGACATTCATTTCCAAAGCAACAGCGGAAGAATTCTTAACTCTCAAGATTGAAGGCTCTGTTGTATTATCAGGGATGTGCCTGCAAACTTCTTTAGTCATCAATCCACAATATATGCATTTCTATTGTAAAATAATTCCTTGCAGGGTACACTTATGTAGCTAACATGCATTTCTACATCACATTATTATTATCAATGATTGCTAACTTCTCTAACTTCCTCTCCATTTCTAGAACATGACACATATGCAGGAGCAGAGAAGAAAACCCAGATGGTTACAGTGGCGAAGAAGATGACAATGACTCAGAGAAGCACCTACAGTGACAGTCGTATGGCCGAGTTTGAGCAGCACCAAGACCATACGCCCCTCAAACATTAATGAAAAACTTGGTCATTATTTTTGTTCTGGCCAACAGGTCAGCCCCACTTGCCCCCTCAAACTTTAATGAAAAACTTGGTCATTATTCTTGCTCCGGCAAACAGGTTAGCCCGACTTACCTTCCCTGCCTCATCACCAAGGTAGATAATAACATAGTAGCATACAAAAACCCGGACATCAGCAAAGCAGGTTGCACACTTTGTAAACTGATGACATCATGATAGTGAAAGGTTATTTTACAGCTAACATGAAGTCAATCACCGTATGCCTTTAAAAAATGCTTTTCAATATACCCAGTTATTACGTGCTTTGTCTGCAGTACCAAATTATCAGTCCAACTAAAAGAACTAACTTAAAATATATGGATGGCATATCAGAACAAGTACTTGCTTGATGAGATACATAAACACAATATTCAAATAACCCGTGAGAGAATTATCTAACCATAAACACAATATTCATCAAATAATTAACTATGCGGCAATAATCCTATTACATTACTGCCCACCAAACTCAGAGAAGTAGTTTAGTTGCATTACTTCTTGCCATGGATTGATAGCAGTAAGGACAACTGATAATCCAAAATAATGAAGTTGGAAAAAACATAAGTTGGGGCATACTGATTTACTGATCTTATGGGTGACTGTATCAGGTCAAATAATGGTGGGCAAGCACTGAGACGTCTGTCTTGTCCGTTGGGTGAACAATTGCAATGGAGAACTAATGTGGGAGGTGTCCTAGAGCAGCATCAACACTGTACTGCAAATAAATTAACCCATCAGAAGTTCTAAAATGACCCAAAGAATCAGAGAATGAGGAAATGGAGAGGGCTACATACATATGTCAAGTTGATACCTGAAACCAGTCATTTGGATCACAAATACTACTCAGTCAGCTTGAACCTAAAATAAGAACCAAGATGAGGGAAGCTGCCGACCTTGAAATAGAAACAATATGAAGATCATGTGTCTCAAAAATCTTGTTTGCACATGGTAGTGAACTACTTATTTACAACAATTTTTCTTTTTTGGTATATATGAGATATTGGGTATCAATTGCTAGCTATCTACACAACACTAACATATGTGAGCCGCTAGATAGAATCAAGTGCAAACAAGATCTGTAGGTAATCACATCTATAATAATTTGGTGGAAAAAATCAAGCCATCGTGATCCCATTGACATGTTAAAACTTGCATCAAAATTCAAACATAGTACAAATATCATTTTGAAAATGAGCATCATAAAATTCAGAAAAAATATTGATCCAATGGATAACTCAAAACACAGAGCAATCATTTGCACACTCAAATATTGATCCAATGGATAACTCAAATATTGATCCAGAGAAGGCACCTACAGTGACAGTCGTATGACCGAGTTTGACCTCACTATTATTATTAATGAGTAAAGATAAGAAGAAAGTCATTTGCACACTCCGCAAATATAAGAAAACTAATGCAGAATATAGTCTTGGTTTGATAGAGCAATCAGTCTTGGTTTGATGTGCTTGGTCAGAAGTAGCAGAGCGGGACTGGAGGACAGCACAACATCCAGGGCAGTGGATAGTTCATCTGCTCAGTCAGAAGGTGCACGTGACGTAGTTGACTGATGGTATTGAGGCTAGAAATATTGAAGGAAGTGATTACAATGAGATGTTAACTGAACCAAATCGGGATCAGAAAAGATATTTTTACCCTAACCAACATGCTATTATCATGTCCTATATAAAAAGTTTCAAATAGTGAATCATTCTCAGCTAAAAACAGTGACCCTCACAATCTGTATCCATTGCATGTAGAGAACTTCCTAATATAAAGATGCAGGCAAACTCACTCACAAATTTCTAATTATAATGCTACCGAATATCAGGAAACAAGACTAAAACCAAAAAATGATTCCATCAATAGCCTCTTCTCCTTTCTTGTGAATCCTGACTATATATAGCTAAAGGAGAAGAATATTGATATGTTGCCAGTCGTATAAAATAGAGCTAATTACTAAAGCTTCTAAAGTAAGGATCAGAGGCCGATGCATGTCTTGACTAATATGAAATGCGCATATCCAAAACAAAACTTTAGAGCCTTTAAGAAATAAGATATGTGAGTATCTGACAAACGCAATAACAGTGAAGGCACAAAACAAAAGAGATAGTTAAAACTCAGATATGGCAAGCTGGCAGTTTTGTCCCTGACCACTATGAAGAGGGCATCTTTGTCCCCTATGAAGAAACAAGTCAGACCTGCATATATATGTCCAATTTTCATACATCTCCAGAGCAAAACAAACAAGATGAAAGATTGTACTTCTGAAATCATCATGTTGCAAAAAGAATAGTGAAATATAATAGCAGATGGTAACACATAGAAGAATGTTTATTACCCCTTCTCTCATGTCCTTGCTGATGACTTTGCCATTTCAAAAATCTTCCTTCAGCCTTCCATTTGACCATACTTCTGAAATCATCATACTGCAAAAAGAAACACCAAATTCAGCAAGCCAAAAGTTCATTTCTTCTATTTTACCAAACTATAAATTCAGAAGTTAGGTCTCAAAAGTTCAGCGAACCAAAAGTTTATTCCAGTCAATTTTTTGTGGGAAATCCTATATCGCTTGGACGCACAAGTCCAGCCATGGATTTGCATTGTCCATCCTATAATACTGTCCATATCTACATCAAGTAGTAGATGTCTTGCTATCTTGTAATTTGCATCTTTAAGTTGGATTAGTTCTCACTTTCATCTAAAAATCAATGCATCTGTCGTCATATAATATGAAATTCACAGAGATTAGCTGATGTATTGTTCTTCAATTCCTTCTCCCACATATTACAATTGGGAATACAAATGACTCCTTGGAAATTCGATGAACAGAAAAAAATGTTGATTGAAGAGAGGAAGCTTCACTATATTACCATGGGCGTGTGACGAACAGCTTGTTGGCCAGGGCTGGACTTCGTCGTCTGCTTGGGCCGACATGGCGGATGCATGAGGAGTGGAGAGAGCCCGCATCCGGCGGAAGCAAGGCAGGTAAGCCAGCAACTGGCGTCGGCCACGCTCCTGGGCAACACAGTCCGTGCCTCAGCGCTGTTGCAGCAAGCATTCGCCGCGCGCCCGCGCCAAGCCGACCGGAACCAGGTGCCCCGTCGTTGACCTCCTTGGGGCTGGCCCTAGCTTCACTCCGGCGCGCCCTCCGGCGGCGGCGGCGAGACATGGAGGAGTTAGGGGATGGAAGGGGTGGTGGCTAGGTTTCTCTCCCGAGACACATGGAGGAGTTGGCCCTAGCTTCGCCCAGGAGCGCACTCCGGCGGCGGCGGTGAGACATGGAGGAGGTAGGGGAGGGAAGGAGTGGCGGCTAGGGTTCTCCCCCGAGACTCATGGAGGCGACGCGGTGGCTGCGATATGGAGAGCCCTTTTGCGTTGACGAAGCGTTGTACGCGGACGCGGCGTGGAATATTCCTCCGCCGGTGGAGTGCGTTCAGCCCTAGTAAATTGCTAATTGCACACATAGCTCGGGATTAGACTAACTGTAACCATTAGATTTTATTTAGTGGGGCTAATCTGACGGTGGTAATTAGGCTGGGTACATCTGCAGGTGGCATTAAGAAAGAATTAGTTTGATTGTTTAATAGTAAGTATAGATATAGATAACCATTAGATTTTATTTAGTGGGGCTAATCTGACGGTGGTAATTAGGCTGGGTACATCTGCGGGTGGCATTAAGAAAGAATTAGTTTGATTGTTTAATAGTAGTATAGATTAGTGGGGCTAATCTGACGGTGGTAATTAGGCTGGGTACATCTGCGGGTGGCATTAAGAAAGAATTAGTTTGATTGTTTAATAGTAGTATAGATAAGCCAGTCAGTCAGTCAGCATCTAATCAGAATAAAAGGTGGGGAGAGCGAGGGAGCGAGAGAGCGAGCCCCGCTGTGCGTCACTCCGACGCCGGCGTCCACCCCTTCGCCGGGCGCCCCTCGGCCCCGGCGTCCCCCTCCCCTCCGTCCCCCCGTGCGTTGGGTGTTCCTCCCCGCCGTGCGCCTCCTCCGACCCCCACGTGTGCCATGGGATCTAGCCCCAGATCCATCACCTCTGCCTTCCAAGGGGAGCGACCGGTCGTCTCCGGCCTCGGCCTCTCGTTCGCGTCGGCGTCTGAGAGCTCGGCCGGGGGCGGGGCCCCTGTTGTTCGGTCGGGGGAGGGGCTCGAGGGCGGCCCATCGCGGCGGATCTCGCCATGGCAGGCTGCACCCTCCTCCAAGAAGACGCTTTGGAAGCGCCGCCTCGAGGAGT